AAGCAAACTCTGTTGCGTCATCCCTATTTAAAGAGGCGCGTGCTAGAAGATTCGAGGTACTCGATACACTATTTCTACAATTTTTAAAACTTTTTTCCAAACGAAACGGGCTTCTTCACGGTAGTTTTTGATTTTCTAGCTTAACGCAGTTATTCACGAAGCGACTTCACAGAAGTAACCAAATTAGCTATTTGGCACAAATCACATGGAATTCGGTGTATCAATAGTGAGGTTTCGTTACGAATTGTCACGTAGATTAACTGAAAATCGCAACTTCGATTCACAGAATCTTTTCGCCGTTTACATACACCCAGATCAGTACACCATCTTTGCGTTGTTAACATCCTGATCAAACACCATTTGGAAGAGAATTTGTTTGGGTGTGTGTGTGTGTGTGGAGATTTCGTCCTGTAAGTGAAGCCACTCTATGTTGAAAAACCGAGAAGTACTGTACAGCTGCTTCATCCTTATTGGTAAACATCAACAGTGCGCATCTCAAGCAACTCCGAAGAGTCTCGAACCCGCGACCTCCCGGCTAGTAGTTTGAACACTTAACCGTTCGGCCACGAGTGGCTGATCAGAAGTGTGATTCCCTCGCACTTAGACAGGATATAGCGCCGCCCAACCTTCAATCACGGAATCCACATCACGCGGTCACACGTGTTGACTGGCTCCTCGAGCAACGACTTCTCAGATGGACGTTTCACTCATCGGGTGAAGTTTATTCTTCCACTGAGCTACTTATAGATTGTTGGTAGTGTGAGGAGATTCGGAATTTTTGTGGAGATTTCGTCCTGTAAGTGAAGCCAATTAATGCTAACATGTCGGGAAGCACTGTACAGCTGTTTTATCCCTATCGGGCATCATCAGTGCATCGTTCTTCGCTATCTTGCAACCATATAGGCTGAATTCAAACCCAAATCGATGGGGTTTGAATAGGTGTCAGCCTGTATAGTTCTGCTGGACATGAAGAAGAACCATTGAATAATTTTTTTGTGTAGTTCCAGTCGTATTTCATTTCCGAAATAAACTTTTAAGCGAACATATTTTTGGATATCTCATTTCTTCTTTTGGAGCCCGAATGTACCCAGTATTCTTATGATCGCAAACCAATCTTGGGTATTCAAATTCCTGACTTCAAATGTTAACTATCAACACCACCATCATGTTAGCTTTCATGACTCGTTATTGAACGGAATGTCCTCGAAATCGACTGATTGGAGTGGCAGCACTCCGGTAACGCACAGGCGCGAATCTGCAGCAAACGTGCAAAGTGGTTCTACACCGTCCATTGAAGCCTTTACACTTGACAAGATTCTGGTCATTGCGTTCGAGAAGTCTCTTGAGCTGAGGTACCCCAATTAGAGGAAAAGACTCAGGCATCGTTCCAGTTGTAAAATGGCATGGAGAGGAATAAACGTGAGATAAGCACATTTCCGTTTATTCAGTCGACGAATGCGAGATTCAGCCTGGAAAATTAGATTATCTGTGTCAACTTGCTGGACAAATTCATAAGAACTTTGTGGTGCTACTCATGGAAAGCTGAATGTCATACAATCTGCTCCAGTTCGATGAAGTTTTGCCACTGAGATCTGACCGAGACTCGACAGCTAAAAAGTTTAGAAGGATCTATTTATCTACGTGAATTTTGTCTTCGCGTACGGTTCTTTGTACTTAAATTACCTCATCATTGTATGCTAACCAGAAGTTCTCAGTCGACCCAATTCCCCGGAATATGAGCCTAAAAACCTTCGTAAGTTTGTTGATGCCTTTGGGGAATATCGATCTTTTGGTTGAAATTCTGCGCCTCTCCGTAGCATGCAGTGATTTCCTACATCCATTTTGAAGACAATATGGCTGATCCAACACTATGGAATTCCCAACTCGTATTTGTAAATTACCCACTTGATTAAAGACGTCTGTTCACTGAATTACACTCTATGGACAATAAACAACTCGTGACGTACACCAAGGAATGCTGTGATCGAAAAGGGGTGTAACATCTGATGAAAAAAATTGCTGCATTACTGAAAGTTTGCAGTCCGATCAGGTGACCATTCATCTGTTCGCCGAGCTTGGCAGTTAACTGACAAACGTTTCGTCACCAAGAGAGAAGACATCATCAGTGCGCAAATGAATAGATATTTCCTCTTTAGCTGTGTGGCCTTATGACATATGAACAGTATCTGTCATCTTTTAATCTGAGTGACTAATTGGGAAACAGCATTTTTGTGAATTTACAGGTCTGTTTGGGATCTGCGTTGCTCTGTAATTTGCCTTTGTCAGGAAAGCAGACTCCTGAAGATTATTCTAGAATATCCGGAACCTACGGAGACCCTCAAACTTCACTAGACGCCTTGGATCAAGGTCGAACAATATAGCGTCAGACAGCCCTGAAGCAGGGTCACACAGCGACCTTAAAAACGTAGCGCGAGGCCATTCTACTTGTTCATTCTCGCCAGTTTGGAATAAAGCTGTTGTGTTCTCTGGCGGCTAGTCTATTTCCAGAACCAAGACACTGCGGCGGGGGCAGCAAAAAAGAAAAACCTACGGAGACCCTCAAACTTCACTAGACGCCTTGGATCAAGGTCGAACAATATAGCGTCAGACAGCCCTGAAGCAGGGTCACACAGCGACCTTAAAAACGTAGCGCGAGGCCATTCTACTTGTTCATTCTCGCCAGTTTGGAATAAAGCTGTTGTGTTCTCTGGCGGCTAGTCTATTTCCAGAACCAAGACACTGCGGCGGGTACAGCAAACAGATATACCTACCTTCCTTTGATGCGAGTGGTTATCCCAATGCATAGTTATTCAGTAGTTTTCTTCCACATTTTGACTGGCCTTTCGCAGATCGTATTGCACTCTGGTATAATCTTCTCGATAATAATAATGAGCATAATCATAATAAGGCAATAGCACCACTGCAATTGTAACAGACGCATCTAAGTTACCACAATTCCGACCTACTGTCACTTTGCAGCCTTTGATGATAATGACCTAAACACATGATGTTAACTAGCTAACTAGAAGTGTGATGTCCCATAGGAACGCTTTATCAGTCCAGACCGTTTTATTTTGCCTGCCCTTAGGAAATTCTGTCCCCATAAGAAGAGAATAAGCAAGGATAGAGCAGTGACAGAAATATTCTTTCCTTATCAACACCAGTATGTCTAGACGAGCGATTTTTAGGACGCTTTCCTCTTGGTTTCAAACGAAAGAAGGTGGAAGAAACTTTCTCGGGCGCCACATAAAACGTTCTTCGACGATGTGGTTTGACCGATTTTATCGTGTTTTTTCAAATGCGAAACATTAGTGAGTAAGTTACATTTACTGTATCATGGGATGCGAGAACAAAACTCGGCATTATGTCCATTAGGGACGTGTGCAAAGAGCTGAAAAGCTTTCTGCATATAAGGCCAGCGTACTAAAACAATGCCCCACGTAGCTTTGTGGACTTTACACCAAAACTTCCCTTTTGACCTACCTTCTTCCCAACCGTGACCTTAAAATATAAAGGACCTCCAGAATAACAATCACACCAAAGTCATCTCCTCGTGATTCCGTGAAAATCGCACTTTAGTCTTGCCTATTTTTCCATAGCGGATGTTAGATTTTATAGCGCAACCCTCACTAGGTGTTTCTAATAATGCATATCAATTTTATTGCGGGCCCAAACCGCCCAGCACGGATGCTGCCGCTTGCCTAATGCACCAGGTTCTGAGAATTCTGGATGGCCACAAAAGACCTACTCGCATTCGTTTCGTAGACTCCAGAAATCCTTTTAATTTGCTTTATCAAGCTTCGCTCTTCAAAAATCTCTTGAGACTAACCTGGATATACCTAATCTCACTTTTATCTGATTATTTCACTGAAAAAAAGCAGCTGGCAAAATATCAACCACGAATGTAGCTGGGTGCGGTCTTGGTAGGTTGAGAAAAGTTCGGAATTTTTAATGGAGATTTTGTCCTACAGATCGAACGATGAGCAGCTAAGAATTCAAACTACTGGAACGAAGGTTGTGGGGTTTGAGGTTCACTGGAGTTTCATTGGATACAAACCACCCGATAACAATGGAGCCACTGTTCAGCGATTTCAATTTTTTTCAGCATGTAGTGGTTTTATTTACCGAGAGGAGGCTCCATTGAATGTAGTGTACTTCATCTGGTCATCCTGTAATGTTTTCTTTTTAAACTTTCCACAGACTTCATATACCTTGGCGAATAAAACAGAAAACACATACTAAAGTATGCCTACGACATCACCATTGGTGGGACCTCTTCTGTGGACACTGATTCTAGTTTGTTTCAGCAAAATAATCGTGCTGCCTGTTCTTCGTTTCAAAGCACTTTCGTCAGTTTGAGTTCAGACACGTGCGTCGAGAGTACATTACATTCCAACGTGGCCTAACTTTGGATGCATTACAGTCACTACTTCTCCCAGTCTGTTGGCTCAACTAAAGCACACTAAATATCTCGGAATTAGGTTGTACACCGATTGGTTTGGACATGTTCACCTCGAAGAAGTGGATGCGAAGTTCCGTTGATTGAGTGTTTTTTTTACATCGGACGGCCGTCTGTTCCCCTTATTCACACAGATCTTTCATTCTCGAGACGGTCTTACAAACACTTCTGTATTGCATACGTGCGATAGTTTGTGGGCTTTGGAAGTCAACTTCAATTTCACAAAACTTTGCAGTTCCGGTTATGTGCTCCGAACTGTGTTTAGAGCCCCAAGAACCACGTGGTGCATGACTTGAAAAATCTAAAATCAAAACACAGAGTAGTGAACTAGCTTGTTACAATCAAACGTTTCGACTGCCACGGGTAACGTTTTTCAAGAATTTCTGCGATTAATTTAATGCATTGTGCTGTATTCTCACTCCGACGCTGTTTAAGAGTATAGTCCTACTCCAGTGGTCTGTCCCCACTTTTCACATTGAAACCTTGCTAAATCAAGATGCCAGAGTTAAAGCAGAACTCTGATAGGACTCCTTACGCTTACTTTTGTTCATTATGTGACCAAGTGTAAAACCTGCTTTTGAGTTTCCGCTAAGAAGGTGTGACGTCTTTTCTTGCGGTTGGTAAGAACTCCTCGGCAGCCCACGACCGGTTCCTTCCAGTTTCGATTTCATCATCAAGCAGACGCGATTTCCAAAATTCTGTTAACTTTACTTTGTACTTGAACCCGAATTATACGATATTTGCGGGGAACACTCAGTTGAAGAATATAACAAAAGAGAGATTCAATAGGGACTCAGTTGAGTCTTTCGTTAAAACTGATCTGATGTGAAAATGCGTCTACTTCGAGGGGTGGTGACGTACTTTTTACACCAGAAACTCTATTTATCGAAAATCCATCCTCCTGCATTCGGCTTGAATCACCAATTTGGTCCTATCTTCTAAATGAGTGCATTTCAAGGATGCGCTCTACATCAGACAGTTTTTCTCAAATTCCCATGCATTATAGAACAGGCGACCCAGTTATACAGGTATTATCCGGTTCACTCCCCTTGTTGACTTATCAATGTGGTTCTACAAAGCAGCAAATCCGAATAAACATTCGGTCTTTGAGAGGAGGTCATTCATCTTGAGGAGTGCGACTGCAGTGTCAGTATCCCAACTGAGTAATCGTCTACAGAGATTTTCATGAAGATAGTGTGGCGTCTGTAATTCGTTGTTAAATATTTACCATTTTTCCTGAACTTAAACTACATTTTGTAACTGACGTTTGTTTTAATGTTACCAATACACATTTTTTTCGGCGCGACTTCCTGACTTCTTGCTGAATCAATGAATTTACGCTCCGTTGAACGGTTTGCTGACTGCTTGCTGAACCAGTGGGACTAGATCTCTGTGTTTGTGTGAACTGTTGAACTTCACATTAAATCCCCGTGACATTTTTCAGTCGTGAATAACTTTCCTATCGTGCAATATACCACTCGCACATGAATCGTCCGTGGGAAATTTCTACGAGTGAATATTTCTTTCACAGTCGGTTACAGCATTTGGGATTGGTGTAGTGCGCTATTGGATCTACGCATTCGTGAGTCCTTATTCGATTACTCATTCTTCTCTTAATGTGATTTCGTGAATTTGTATTGGTTACTTTGCTTGTTCGTTTGTCCGAACACGCTGATAAGGTCCTAGTCCGCTACAATTGGATGCTCACCTAACAGGTAAGCTCGAATAACTTTATATGTGCCGAACTTGTATGATTCCAGTGAAATAGTTCACAATGAACTTGTTGGTGAATTGGAAACCGGTGGACTACACATCAGGACAAACCTAATGTGATAGACTCTGACTTTGCGTAATCCATGGATCCAAATGGCCGTAGCCGAATGTACTAATGGAAATCTGTCTATCTTTCTATCATACAAACAGCGAACAAAATCGCCGCCCACAGCGAAACCGGCAGGAAACAGTCCATTTGATACAGCATGATGTGGTGTAAATCGTGATGTTGCAAGGAGGTTTATCGCTTACGTTAACTCACTCTCTGATTGGTGTGTGATTAGTGTTCACAGTATCATCACCTTTGTCAAAGATACCGTATTTTGTGACAACGGGCGGTTTTGGCAACCTTTCTTTTCGATAAAGTCTGACAAAAACTCATACCCGAGGAAGAGAAAAGGTATAAATGGATGTAAAATGCAGTGTGAATGTGTCAGGACTCCGGTCTATGTAGATCGATTTGTTTGAACTCGTCGGAGAGATATAATTCGCTGGCCAGGTGCTTACTTTTGCACGACGTTCCTGACGACACTGGGGTAGTTAATAAAACCGGATAAAGCCGCTGAAAGTACACTTTGGTATATAGTATCGGAAGCTGCTCGGTTAGTTACGATTGAGCTTATTCAGTGTGAGTTTGCGGGTCTCACAACAAACCTGGAGTTATCATGGATTCTCCGAAGAAAATCGTCAACTTGAGAGACCCTTGCGGATCACAACACATTCGAATACAGAAGAACCAAGAACAGAACATGTGTCGTCCGCTTGTTCCATATTCTTCATTTTTACACTGATAAAATGGTCACTTCTGAAGGGACTCATATGCAGCGTTGGCAAATTAGGCATTGTCCATAGTGGTAGTCAGCAAAACCATGTTTTATCATCAAACATGCCAAACAACACTGTTGTTTGCAGGTCGCAAGGAGATGAATGCTGAATTCCATATGAAGACCAAAAGTCAGCCGACTCTATTTGGGCACAGCCGTGTCATTGTTGGTCCTTCCGGACTGAGTTAATAGATCGTTCTCAAAGAGAAGTGACAGTTGGAGAGAGTGGCAGGGGGGGAAAATTTTGGCCACTTAAAACAAGCAAAACGTTCTGTCTTCGGAAGAAGATTAGCAAGATGTGGACCGCTTTTTACGAAGCAGTCATCATAAACTCCAGAATCCTATGGCTCTACTACCACTGTCGCCTACGAAAGACAGCCACCAGCAAGAGCTCGATTGTAGCTAATGGACTGGAGCTTCCCCAGTCAAACTGTTCAATAATGATGTTGACGGTATGAGATTTGGGATTTTTATTGGCGATTTTGTCCTGTAGATAGGGCCAATATATGCTGAAAAACTGCATTAGAAAACTGTTTCTCCAGAATGTAGGAAACACCTAATTTAGGAGCACGTGAAGTTTTATTGCCTCACCGCTTTGAACAAACACACCCTGACACCTCACCCTACAAAAGGAAACTTTCCAATGCAAATACACTGTTTTATTGATTAATAGCTGCTGGTCGATATTTACTTTGAAAGACTGACGTCATAAGACTTTTTAATTACCCTGAATTCACATACATGCTCTCCCTGTCTTACGAAATAAACGCTGCTAAAATTTTATCTAGTTCATATTTTATTGTCCATTTCTGCGGAAGTGCCACATAATCCATCTTGGTTGCATTTCAGCAAAAGCAATGAGTGTTTTGTGCGTTCACCTTCAAACTGAGTGACCCGATTAATTAACTGCATAAGCCATCTGACTACAGCTCAGCTTCCTAAGTAGGGGTGATATTTTAGGAATTGTTCAGAGCTCTCACAAGGTAACAGCTTAGCAAGAACATCTTGGGATCGTTATGACGGTTTCATCGATTTGAGCGGACAAGTGAGAAATAATTGTCAAAAAACGACTAGAGGTTTTGGTCCTATCACACCCAAGCCCGTTATTTGAAAAAAAATTGTGAATGCAAGTCCTCGTCAAACATTAATTATTGGAGATCGACGGCAAACTCAGGTGCATAGCAGTACACAGCTTCTTCCGGGTTGTATGTTATTTCGGCTTGGATCTGCAAACAAGAGGAAAAACAGCATTTGAGGATAGAAGTTTTAACAAGATTTATATGACCGCAACAGTAGTCTGCTCTGAAGTACAGTCCATCATCGGCTGTTTGGCAGATTACAAGTCATTGTCGAACTCTGTAGGCTGTAGACATTCATCATATCTCACTCGATGTCTCAGCAATCATCCAAATGCGATCGAAAATCTGGACTTTGGCCTAGAGTTGTTTCGTTATCTAGAGATTTTACAGATAAAATGCCACACTTTGCTCATTTTTCAGATCCTCCTTAGATGAGCGTTTCCATAGAGCAGACTGTCCTTCCTTCACGTGATACAGTCCTTTGCAAAATGATTGGTTTTCAAAAGGTGATACAACAGCATCCCACGTGAATCTCCCGTTTGTAATATTCTTCAACTGAATGTGCCACACGCAGGCTGATTTACGTGTTGGTTGGGATGAAGTTCGAGGTATCACAGAACCTTGTCTAGGCGGGACGTCCTACTCACAAGGCCTGTGGAAGCTCCTCGACATCCCCTGACAAGTTTGGGCTCATCGGGTGAGCGCCTTACCCAAGTTTCCGTTAAATTTGTTTTTTTTGTACCCAGATGGCATTCAATTTTTCAAATATTCTGATTAACACATCAGGTTCGGGTAATTGGCCGAATTCTACCAGAATTTCTCCTTCATATCCCACCAGGATAGCTTCCCTTATTTGGAATCCAAGCATCACAGCATTTTGCGCAGACCCATCAAAGTTTTGATTCTTACGTAATTATGGGTCAGTCAGTGATTCCTATGAGCCTTTAAAAAACAGACTTTTTAATCAGTACAGAGATTCAGCACTGGCATTCACTGTGTAAGACAGATTTCAGCAATGAAGATTGCTTGAAGATTACTTGTTTTGAAGATTTTCAGGATGAACACCATCCTACAATTATCATTTTCCCTTTCCTGAGAAGACAGTGGACAACAAACCCATTTATATGAACCCGAACTTTGAAGGATAGTAAGCGTTCCTAGTATAGTATAGTAGAGTATAGTATAGTACAGTATAGTATAGTATAGTATAGTATAGTATAGTATAGTATAGTATAGTATAGTATAGTATAGTATAGTATAGTATAGTATAGTATAGTATAGTATAGTATAGTATAGTATAGTATAGTATAGTATAGTATAGTACAGTATAGTATAGTATAGTATAGTATAGTATAGTATAGTATAGTATAGTATAGTATAGTATAGTATAGTATAGTATAGTATGCATTTCTTCTAGTTCAATTATACTGCTAGCCAGTCATCCACACACAGACTTCTTCTGGCAGTTGGCGTGAACGACTCTCCCACGAGTTCACTGTGCTCTTACTCTAATGAAGTCAAAGCCGGCGCATACGAGTTTTCTCGAATTCTTAGCGTGCCTTGACTCTCTGTACCAAACTGAGTTGCAGAATTTGTAACCCGAATTTCATCCCAGATTGTCGTTCATTGTGACTGAAATGCACCGGGCTAGAACACTGGACTATGTTTTGAAATTTGTGGATGCCAGCTTACTTCGAATCAGAATTGTTTTACAATGAATCATGAAACATCATCACTCTAAATGTCTGTATGTTCAGACGCCAATGTTTGATAGCTCCCATGGTGACCGTGGTCCAAATTGACAATAAACCCATCGTGAAAGTGATGAAGAACTTCCGGTGTCTGATTTACGCCCTGTTCCAGGGAATTCTTATAAGGGCAGAATGCGTGACACATTTGTGTCTTTTCTTCGGCTTGATGGGTAGAGTGAAATGTGTGCCTGTCTTGTGATCTAGTATGTACAAATAGCTTAAATTTGGGTTTTCGTCCATTGCT